AAGAAAATGCAGTCTGCCCGCCCTTCTCTTCCTTACCAAATTTTTGTCGCCAGTTGTGGCCAAAAGCGACTGTGCGTCTCGGAGCATCCTGTGGCACGCACAGTAAGTGTGGGTGCTGTCAGTGCTTGTGTAGCTTGAAGCGAGCGTGCGTCTCGGGGTGGGGTGGGGGAAAACACACACACACACACACACACACACACACACACACACACACACACACACACACACACACACACACACACACACACACACACACACACACACACACACACACACACACACACACACACACACACACACACACACACACACACACACACACACACACACACACACACACACACACACACACACACACACACACACACACACACACACACACACACACACACACACACACACACACACACACACACACACACACACACACACACACACACACACACACACACACACACACACACACACACACACACACACACACACACACACACACACACACACACACACACACACACACACACACACACACACACACACACACACACACACACACACACACACACACACACACACACACACACACACACACACACACACACACACACACACACACACACACACACACACACACACACACACACACACACACACACACACACACACACACACACACACACACACACACACACACACACACACACACACACACACACACACACACACACACACACACACACACACACACACACACACACACACACACACACACACACACACACACACACACACACACACACACACACACACACACACACACACACACACACACACACACACACACACACACACACACACACACACACACACACACACACACACACACACACACACACACACACACACACACACACACACACACACACACACACACACACACACACACACACACACACACACACACACACACACACACACACACACACAAGGGGGCCTCGTAGCCTGGTGGATAGCGCGCAGGATTCGTAATTCTGTGGCGCGGGTTCGATTCCCGCACGAGGCAGAAACAAATGGGCAAAAGTTTCTTTCACCCTGAATGCCCCTGTTACCTAGCAGTAAATAGGTACCTGGGAGTTAGTCAGCTGTCACGGGCTGCTTCCTGGGGTGTGTGTGGTGTGGGGAAAAAAAAAATAGTAAACAGTTGATTGACAGTTGAGAGGCGGGCCGAAAGAGCAAAGCTCAACCCCCGTAAAAAACACAACTAGTAAACACAACTAGTAAACACACACACACACCTTACATGCACCTTACGACACTGGAAGACAGAAGAGTAAGGGGAGACATGATCACAACCTACAAAATCCTCAGAGGAATCGACCGGGTAAACAAGGATAAACTATTCAACACTGGTGGGACGCGAACAAGGGGACACAGGTGGAAACTGAGTACCCACATGAGCCACAGAGACGTTAGAAGGAACTTTTTCAGTGTCAGAGTAGTTAACGGATGGAATGCACTAGGCAGTGATGTGGTGGAGCCATACACAGTTTTAAGTGTAGATATGATAGAGCCCAGTAGGCTCAGGAATCTGTACACCAGTTGATTGACAGTTGAGAGGCGGGACCAAAGAGCCAAAGCTCAACCCCCGCAAGCACAAATAGGTGAGTACAAATAGGTGAGTACACACACACATTTATATATGTATATATATATATATATATATATATATATATATATATATATATATATATATATATATATATATATATATATATATATATATATATCAAGACTCCGCTCCAATATAGAAGCATCAAGAAATATGGACCAATAGGCTTTCTACAAACACTTCTATTCAATATATATATATATATATATATATATATATATATATATATATATATATATATATATATATATATATATATATATATATATGAACAAGAGTGTCAGTTGGCAAAAGTGTCCCACTGGCCAGCTCCCTCTGTGCATTTGGGATCATAAATCCCAGTGGAGTCTCTTAGGTACTCTGGTTGTTAAGATGTCTCTGGTGATGATCTGATTGTGTGAGATTATATGTTCCTTGATGGAGCCCTGTTGCTTGTGCATTGTTAATCGCCTAGAGAGAGAGAGACGGTGTTGTCTTGCCTATATACCTTGAGGTTACCTTGAGGTGCTTCCAGGGCTTAGCGTCCCCGCGGCCCGGTCGTCGACCAGGCCTCCTGGTTGCTGGACCGATCAACCAGGCTGTTGGACGCGGCTGCTCGCAACCTGACGTATATATACTGAGATCTTTGGGGCTGAGAGTCCCGAAGTGGGCATGTGAAAGCATAGACGACGTTGGTCTTTTTTAAGGCGTTCTGTTTAGTGTCTGGAGAGTTCTTAATGTGAAGGTTGGCGGTCGTCTTGTTTTTGTAGTAAATTGTTAATTGTATCTTCTGATTGGTCTGTGGGGATAACGTTCCTATCAATAATATCTTTCAGAACACTTTCCTCCGGTTTATAAGCCGTGGAAAAGAAGTTCCTGTAAAACACTCTAATAGGAGGTACAGGTGTTGTGTTAGTTGACTCTTCAGAGGATGAATCCTATTTTGTGGTATTTTTTCTAAAATAATTTTTTTAAAACACTGCCTATATTACACAGGTTTACTGCATTCAAACAGTAAAAATACAGAATTAGAAGAAATTAATATTCCGTTGTATTTTCGCTGGAACAGCTAATCTAAACAAATTAACTAACTTCACGAAGTAAAGGAAGTAGCCTATGTAACATTTATAATAATTTTTAGAGAGGCCTCCACAAAGACAATTTTTTTTTATCTTTGTTTAAGAAAATGCAATATAAATTACATGTATCATTGCCTTGCAAAACTTATATATATTACAATTCTACGTGAACAAGTGTTTCAGTAGTACAGAACAACATCTTTAAAAACAAATAAACTGAATGTTATACTTATTTACCTATAAACGATTTACAATAATTGGAGAATAAATTTACATTAAAAGGACGTCTTGCTGCTCTTCTAAATGGATAGTTGGACTCGTAGTCCCTCCGGCCTAATATAAATCTCATTGTACACAGATAACCCCCATTAGCTGCGTTACCCCATTTATGTACCATGTACGCTGATGCCTCAACCCGTCCTTCTAATAGAACGTCGCATTTTGACGTATAATCTGCCTAAGGCCAAAAATTGTCGTACTAGAAAATAGAAGCGGCTCGCGAAATTGACGTACTGTACCGTTTACTGTTTTGGGTCCAGTGGTAGGTTAGCTTTAAGTGCATTTTAGTACGACAGTTTCTTGACGTTGGGGAACCTTATCTTGAGATCTTGAGATGATTTCGGGGCTTTAGTGTCCCCGCGGCCCGGTCCTCGACCAGGCCTTCACCCCCAGGAAGCAGCCCGTGACAGCTGACTAACACTCAGGTACCTATTTTACTGCTAGGTAACAGGGGCATAGGGTGAAAGAAACTCTGCCCATTGTTTCTCGCCGGCGCCTGGGATCGAACCCAGGACCACAGGATCACAAGTCCAGCGTGCTGTCCGCTCGGCCCACCGGCTCCCCACCTTAGCAGGACGGGCTGAGTACCTGTAGCGTGTGTTCCAAAAAAAGCGAGGTAAACACTCCTTACTCTATACAAATTATACTCCTAAATTAAAATATCTATTCGGTTAACGTATTATTGAATTCAATTGTATAACGCATTCTGCATTTTTATTTGTCTCAGATTTTCAAGCAGCATTTGCAGCTTTGCAGTAATTAGTTTCAACCTCTTACAGAATAAAATGATACGCGGCTGCCAGATGAAAAACAAATAATTTACCTTCTGTTATTCTCCTTTTTTCTAAATCTTGTACATAATTTTTAAATCAAACTACTATATTATGTTTATAGGATATAATATATATCAGACAGTCTAAGCCAACTAATCTGGCTTGTTCGAGTATTAATTTGCGAGGCTGCTAGTTCACGGTGACTTAGAATATGGTAAATAAAATATATATATATATATATCTGTGGTGGGTTCTCAGTAGATGGTCCTTTAGAGCTAAGCTCCCACATATTTTGGTCCAACGAACCGCAGATTAAGCACGAAATCTCAGTTTTGGTCCATATCAGTCTTCGCAAACCGTGGCTAGAAAAGATGTTTTCCACATGTCCTGAACGATAACATAACCCGGCAAGGCTTGGAGCAACGCAATGTAATTATCGGGACATATCCAATAAAATTCCCTTACAAAATGTATGGTTTATATAATGAATGAATCATTTATTGAAATGTTGTCGGGGTGGGAATGCTTCCAATATAATATTCGTTCAGATTAGGCTTCCGTCTCATCAAAACAATTCACGCACCGCGGATTTATTCAGTAATTGAATTAAAAACTCAAGAATTTCGTGAGAACTATATCATTAATATTTAAGATGTGTCATATATTTATCCCGGATGACATATTACCCAAAGTTCTATAGTCAAATACCACAAGGTTTACTATTGTAGATAATGTACACATTGTTAATGTTTGGCTGGAGGAAGACATTCGTTGCGTTTTAGCTTTGTTTATTTACCCAAAATCCCGTCGACGCCGTTATAAACTTCATGTCAAAAACATAAGATAAATGAAAACATAACACAATCAATATAATAATATTAATTTAACATAGGTAATGCTAAGTACTCAATTCTGACACACCAGCCTAACTTAACTGAGGACCTATGGATAAAAAACGAGCCATCACGTCAATTTTGCGAGCCACCATGATTTTAAGTAAATCACTTTTTGGCCTTAGGGGCAAAATACGTCAAAATGCGTTGTAGTGCTACTTGAGAGGACGGGTTGGGTACAGTTAGAGCAGTATCGTTGACCACACAGTTATTTCCGTTACGTAGAGGCTGGCTAAAGGGGATTTACCTGTAATCCGTGGATATGACCAGTTGGTTCAGCTGTGCCAACACCCATGTGTGTCAGACGTAGAGGTGCCAACACCCAGGTGTAGCACAAGTGCCAGTTTGGATTGTGTAGTGAGAGGGGTGACACGCGCCTCGCTGAAGGCTCTCTGAGGGATACGCTCAAGAGGTTGTATCCACTTGAGCGTCTGCTTAGACCTCTATTAGTCACAGGATCTGTGTAGTGCCCTGTATCACATTTTTAAGACTGATACTGTAGTGAAAATTAAAAAATTCACGTCAAGTGTTCTGGTAGAATCTGTAAGGTCGTCTCTGAATACCTTTTATTCTCTTCTCCGAGTCCCTAGAGTTGCACCAGACGTGGCAGCCCTTTAACTAAGATATATTGAACAGAATTATAGTGTATACCGCACAGAAAAGAACCATGTGTTTTGTAAAATGTATATAATTCAAAAATGTGTTTCTGAAAGAAAGTGTTGTCGCCATAATTGTTTAAACCCACCAAATTTATTTCAAAATTTGTCAGTACATATAATAGCATTATGATAATTAAATCCGTTGGTTGCAGGGCTGGTGGAGAAGTGTTGTGGGTGGAGGGAAGTAGAGTGTAGGCTGCGGCAGGAGGCTACAGTCGACACCACCAACACCTCACCCAGAAAACCACGTAAAACTGCACAAAAAAAATAACGAAACTACGGCTTAAACCGAATCGACTCACGACTTATCGAAACGCACTGACACGAGGCAACCGAGGAAGAGCGGTGGCCATACTGGCCGATCAAAACCACTATCAGTTCACCAGGCTTCCCCATGCTCATCAGGCTTCCACGTGGTAACCCGCATTTTCCGGGATAATCAGGCTATCCCACTCGGCTTGTATGTGATTCAAAGTTTTGACTATATACCTGGCTTCAAGAGGACGTGAAAACCAGGTTATCACCAAACCAATCATCCACGTGTTCAAGCTTTCACGCGGCAATCACATTACAAGTGCTTACCAGACAGGACATCAGATTTCCAGGACTCACGTGGCCTGTCATTAAGACTCGCGGCTCCACGTGGCACATTATAAACGTTCCTGGCTCCCGTGGACCACTACAAAGGCTCCTGCTCTACGTTGCTACTGACAGAGGCTCCCGGCTTTTCCTCGGTCCGTCATAAAGGCTCCAAGTTTCACGTGGCCAATTGGACATCACAAAGTCTTCTGGCTCCACGTGGCGCGTCATTAAGACTCTTGGCTCCACGTGGTGCGTCATATAGGCTCCTGAATCAAGGTGTTGCGTCATAAAGGCTCCTGAATCAAGGTGTTGCGTCATAAAGGCTCCTGAATCAAGGTGTTGCGTCATAAAGGCTCCTGAATCAAGGTGTTGCGTCATAAAGGCTCCTGAATCAAGGTGGTGCTTCATAAAGGCTCCGGACAACGTAGTGCATCATAAAGGCTCCTGACCACGTGGTGTGCAATAAAGGCTCCTGCTTCACTTTGTGCGTCATAAAGGCCCCCCCCCGCCCTAGCTTCACTTTGTGCGTCATAAAGGCCCCCCCCCCCGCCCTAGCTTCACTTTGTGCGTCATAAAAGCTCCCAGAATCTACACGCCGCGTCATTAAGGCTCAAACGTCCTCCGAGTCACCTTTCTCTCACAAAAGGAATTTGCTTCCGGATCAGAAAGCACCTCAGAGCAGGTGACGTGCTGGGTGTTGCGGGTTCTGACACTAATCAGTGGGCAGTTGACACTGACCAAGATGTCTGGCCGTGGTCGTGAGGGGGGCGAGGACCCTGACCCCCCAAAAGGACCCCCTGGCGGCGGGGGCCCCACCATCAACGGATCCATCGAAGCCATGCTGACTCCTGAACTTCTCTTCCGCATGAACAAGAAAATCGCCCAGCTCACCAAGGTAAGTTGGAGCCTTCTGTTTCTTAGTAAATGGACGTTACAATAGTTTTGGGTTTTCCTTCGAAACGCACAATTGTTTGATGGTTTACCGATTAAACTGCAGGTATGAACGGGTATTGAAGTAAACTATCTTCAAGTTCTTTCTAAGCATGCACATATTTTGTTGCACCTTTCTAATTAAACCTTCGTAACCTCAGCAAAAACAACTAAATAAGGCGACGATTTCATGATTAACCAGCCTAATCATAGCCCCAGTAGGGCACAGTATCTACGAGCAGCGTTAGTTCGACATTGAATCAGCGTTAGTTTAACGTCAATATCAACGTAGAATCAACATGATGTTGATTCTAAGTTGCTCTTCGATAGTATTCCTACTGGGATATAAATGTTCTTTTCACTAGGCGCCATCTTCCATTACTTAAACAATATTTGGAATTGCTAAACAGTTTTTGATTGTACAAACGCAACGATTTCTCCCATACACATTGTTTTTGTCTATTATACAACTGCCTGGTTATTTTGTTTATAGAAATCAGCTGATGTAACTCGCATTATTGGTCAGTTATGTATATATTGCCGCTCTTTGTTCTCCGAAGACTCGCAACAATCATGCTATTTTGGGAATTGAAATTTAGGTGAAAATGCTGAGGAATCCTCGTCTCTCCTCGCGACACCTTGACCTAAGGCTTCATTCCTTGTGAATTAGGTCAGATACTTTATTCCTAACAACTTGGATAAAGCATTACACATGTGGATGCATAGAACAGTGATGTTCATCAGTAAACCCCAAAAAATAAATCATAAAATTACCCAAAATATCTTAGAAATACGTAAATAAGGAATAAATGAAATATTTATTATCAATAATGTCAGTAATGAATGTTGGAACGTGAATAAACATATTTTTACTCGCATTAAAGATTTTTTTAATAGAGGAAAAACACCAACGTCTGATGCTCAGGGGCCAGATTCACGAAGCACTTACGCAAGTACCTACGAACGTGTACATCTTTCCTCAATCATTGACGGCTTTGGGTACATTTATTAAACAGTTTACGAGCATTAAAACTTGCCAATCAACTGTTGTTATTGTTATAAACAGCCTCCTGGTGCTTCGGAGCTCATTAACTGTTGAATAATTGTAAACAAAGCCGCCAAAGGTTGAGAAAAGATGTACAGGTTCTTAAGTGCTTGCGTAACTGCTTCGTGAATTTAGAGCCCCATTTAGAGCGTTGATTCCATTTAGAGCCCCATGGCTATAAATGGAGTAACTCTATGACGTTATGGGTCTAGAAATTCAACTACTTACACATTGAGACAATTGTAATACACACAGCTGATTGTAAATCTTGGAAAGACTAATAAATAGTTGTATGAGACAGTGTTGGTGAAAATGTACATGTATGAGGCAGTGTTGGTGATAGTGTACATGTATGAGGCTGTGTTGGTGATAGTGTACATGTATGAGGCAGTGTTGGTGATAGTGTACATGTATGAGGCTGTGTTGGTGATAGTGTACATGTATGAGGCAGTGTTGGTGATAGTGTACATGTATGAGGCAGTGTTGGTGATAGTGTACATGTTTGAGGCTGTGTTGGTGATAGTGTACATGTATGATGCAGTGTTGGTGATAGTGTACATGTATGAGGCAGTGTTGGTGATAGTGTACATGTATGAGGCAGTGTTGGTGATAGTGAACATGTATGATGCAGTGTTGGTGATAGTGAACATGTGGGAGGCAGTGTTGGTGATAGTGTACATGTATGAGGCAGTGTTGGTGATAGTGTACATGTGTGAGGCAGTGTTATTGAATGTGTACAATATTAGGCTTTGTTATTGATAGTGTACAATATGAGGCTGGGTTATTGATAGTGTACAATATGAGGCTGGGTTATTGACAGTGTACAATATGAGGCTGGGTTATTGACAGTGTACAATATAAGGCTGGGTTATTGATAGTGTTCAATATAAGGCTGGGTTATTGACAGTGTACAATATGAGGCTGGGTTATTGATAGTGTACAATATAAGGCTGGGTTATTGATAGTGTACAATATGAGGCTGGGTTATTGATAGTGTACAATATAAGGCTGGGGTATTGATAGTGTACAATATGAGGCTGGGTTATTGATATTGTACAATATGAGGCTGGGTTATTGATAGTGTACAATATGAGGCTGGGTTATTGACAGTGTACAATATAAGGCTGGGTTATTGACAGTGTACAATATAAGGCTGGGTTATTGATAGTGTACAATATAAGGCTGGGTTATTGATAGTGTGCAATATAAGGCTGGGTTATTGATAGTGTACAATATAAGGCTGGGTTATTGATAGTGTACAATATGAGGCTGGGTTATTGATAGTGTACAATATAAGGCTGGGTTATTGACAGTGTACAATATAAGGCTGGGTTATTGATAGTGTGCAATATGAGGCTGGGTTATTGACAGTGTACAATATAAGGCTGGGTTATTGACAGTGTGCAATATAAGGCTGGGTTATTTATAGTGTACAATATAAGGCTGGGTTATTGATAGTGTACAATATAAGGCTGGGTTATTGACAGTGTACAATATAAGGCTGGGTTATTGATAGTGTGCAATATGAGGCTGGGTTATTGACAGTGTACAATATAAGGCTGGGTTATTGACAGTGTGCAATATAAGGCTGGGTTATTTATAGTGTACAATATAAGGCTGGGTTATTGATAGTGTGCAATATGAGGCTGGGTTATTGATAGTGTACAATATAAGGCTGGGTTATTGACAGTGTGCAATATAAGGCTGGGTTATTGATAGTGTGCAATATGAGGCTGGGTTATTGATAGTGTACAATATGAGGCTGGGTTATTGATAGTGTTCAATATGAGGCTGGGTTATTGACAGTGTACAATATAAGGCTGGGTTATTGACAGTGTACAATATGAGGCTGCACATTAACAGTGTACAATATGAGGCTGCACATTAACAGTGTACAATATGAGGCTGCACATTAACAGTGTACAATATGAGGCTGCACATTAGGATATATTGTTTTTTCACACACTTCCAACACTTCACCTGAAGCCTTGTCCTATTACTTTCCCCTAAAATTCGACCCGTAAATAGGTTTACAACCAGGTCTGCCCCGTTGCCCAATCGTCAATCTCTTGCCCCGGGCAGGCAAGGCTCACCACCCCTATTGTTCATGATTGTACACGGTCACGTGAACAATTTTGCAATTACAACGTCCTCTTCGCAACGGACGCTTGAGGTATGATCAAACAAACTTTTTCCGTGGTGATATTTCCTGATGGGGTAGAGGCAGGTGTGTGGCACAGCTACTGCAGGCTTCCTGTCCCCATGATAGTGGGGGGGGGGGCAGTTGGCACTTGGCACTCATCCACGCACACTGGCAAACTACATATACAGTGCCCACTGGGTCGTAGACAAAGCAACAAATACAGATTTCCTTTGTGCTTAGGATTGCTCATAATAGGCTAAGAAAAGATTGGGTTAGGTTATTATTGTTTCTATGCGCTTTAGAATTTCAATAATAATTCAATAGTGAAATTTTCAATAGTAAAAAAATAGTAACATTTTCAATGGTAAAAAATAGTATATTTGTCAGAACGTAATTGTATTTGTAGTTCGCGTGTCAAGTATTTAGTCGCCTGTACACAGGCTAGGGTCGTCCAAGCAGCGGCCGATCTCAGCCTGTTTACAGGCAACTCGTCCTCGGACCAAGTCCATTCCATCCAGCGGTCGACCCCACAGACGCATTCATGAATTTTAACATGCTGTTCATTCAAAACAGGAATTTTCTCAAATATAAATATATTTATATTAATATTATAATATATTAGTATATTGTGCATATATAGTTATAGGTTAGGTTAGGTGTTTAGGTTCTGTTGGCGAGTATTTGTATTTATAGTACGTGGGTGAAGCATTTACAGCGTTGTGGTTCGAACACAAGTCGTCAGTGAAGCACTTGTTCCGGAAGTGTTCGAACGTCAGCAGTTGTGAGTAGTGTGTAAACTGTTTTTAATTCACAAACAGCGGGTGTGTCGGGTGGATGGAATGGACTTTCGGTCTGTGTTTGGAGGACGGGCTGCGTCCTCGCATACAAAGATCCAAGCTCGTTAATCCAGCCGCCAAACCCCAGCTGTTTATGAATGAAATATGATTCACACAAGTAGGGGAAAGTTCGACTATGAGGGTCCCGTCCATCGCTGAAATGGATGAGTGTGATGGATGAGCGTGATGGATGAGCGTGATGGATGAGTGTGATGGATGAGTGTGATGGATGAGCATGATGGATGAGCGTGATGGATGAGTGTGATGGATGAGCGTGATGGATGAACATGATGGATGAGCGTGATGGATGAACGTGATGGATGAGCGTGATGGATGAGCGTGACGGATGAGTGTGATGGATGAGTGTGATGGATGAACGTGATGGATGAGCGTGACGGATGAGCGTGATGGATGAGTGTGATGGGTGAGTGTGATGGATGAGCATGATGGATGAGCGTGATGGATGAGTGTGATGGATGAGCGTGATGGATGAACATGATGGATGAGCGTGACGGATGAACGTGATGGATGAGCGTGATGGATGAGTGTGATGGATGAACGTGATGGATGAGCGTGACGGATGAACGTGATGGATGAGCGTGACGGATGAACGTGATGGATGAGCGTGATGGATGAGCGTGATGGATGAGTGTGATGGGTGAACGTGATGGATGAGCGTGATGGATGAGCGTGATGGATGAGCGTGATGGATGAGTGTGATGGATGAACGTGATGGATGAGTGTGATGGATGAGAGTGATGGATGAGTGGGATGGATGAACGTGATGGATGAGTGTGATGGATGAGTGGGATGGATGAGCGTGACGGATGAGCGTGATGGATGAACGTGACGGATGAACGTGATGGATGAGAGTGATGGATGAGCGTGATGGATGAGTGTGATGGATGAGTGTGATGGATGAACGTGATGGATGAGTGTGA